GTGACTTACTGTAAATAAAATTTAGCGTTAGCATGATGCTAAACTAGCAACCTTATTCTCTAAAGCAGTGGTTCTTAATCCTAGTCCTGGGGACCCCTTGCTCTGCACATTTTGTATGTTTCCTTCATTTGACACACTTAGTTCATTTCATGGATCTCTCCCCTAAAGAGCTGATGATCTGAATCAGATGTGTTCAGTAAGGGAGACATGCAAAATGTGCGGAGTTGGGGGTCCCCAGGACCAGGATTAAAATCTGCTCTAAGGGGCTGTTTAGAATGCGCATTTTGCATTCTACTGTGCTGCTTTTCCATTGTTTTTTCCCATCGTCCCATCGGGGAAAACTAAGCATAAAACTGTTGCTCTTGTTATTGTTGTTTTTATGCAGGTTTACTAGACAAATTGTGTCCTGCCTTTAAATAATTTCAATTCTAATTAAAATGTTCTTAAGGATAAAAAAATATATCTCAGATAATGCTGTAAACTTGCTGTATTGCTTGCACATTACTATCATATTAAAAGTTACAGTTAACAACGGAGCCCAAACTATTTTTTTAACAAAAAAAAAAAAAAGTAAATTGCACAAAAGGCAGTTTTTACATTAACTTTGAAATATAATTACATAATTATGAAGTGTTTCTACTCCAATTCAGGTTAAGTAAAATATAATGAATAGATAACCAAGCTGTGGACACTGAATGACTCGCCTGAGGTAAATGTAATGCTACGTGACATATTGTTTACATGCCTAGTGAACTTTTATTAATGGATCAGCAGATCAAGTCAACTTTAAAATATCCGTCTTGGCATTTAAAAATTGATATTGATTTGTTAAAATTAAGGTATATAAAATTAGGATTTAGGGTGCTTTCACACCTGGCTGTTGTTTCGGAACCTGGCACGTTTCCCCCCCTTAGCTCGGTTCGTTTGGGCATATGTGAACACGGCAATCGCGCTCGGATCCGCGCCAAAACAATCGGTCCGAGATCGCCTGAACGAGGTGGTGTCGGCTCGATTGAAAACGAACTCTGGAGCGGTTCGGTTGTAGTGAGAAAGCAATCCGATCTAACGGACCAACGAACCAGGCTATATCACAATGTATAATGGGTAATTACGTAAGTTCCGTGAAAAGCATTAGCTTTGTTGTTTTGCTAATACTTCATAATGAACCTGTGCATGTCTGTGGGTGAGCACGTCTTCGCCATTCAAAATCAAAGCGCACTTTTTCATTTTATAATGCCGTCTTATTGCTCTTCTTCCTAGTATGTGCATTTTAAAAATGTTTTCGCAATGAATCCTGGGCTCAAAGTGATAAATTAATATAACGACATCTACAAAAAAACAACAACAACAATAAGCCCGCGAAGCTGTTGTCGTTCCATCTGGACAGATGACAGCTCTGACAGCTAGTGGAATCCCGGAAAATTTAAAGTTAAAGTTTTCCATTAAACTTTTGAGGGTAACATGACTCAAAATGGCGTCGGCAGCAGTGAGAGGTCGGGCAGGTGCTGGTTCGCTGCTATCAAGCCAACAGTTTCCTAAAAATTGCTTTGTTCATAGCCACTTTTTTCGAAATAAGATTATTTTATGGACTATGTTCTATGTTGTGGCACTTGTAGTCAATTCGGTACGACCGTGTATGGAAATGAATCAAGCTCAGTATACAGAAAATGTGATCACCTGTTCAAATTACTTGGTGCTTCTGAGAGAACAGTTTACTCGCATGTGACTTGTATTAACAAATTTGGTCCGTTTAAAAACATTGCCATATGAAAGCGAACCGCACCAAGAATAAAAAGCAACATTGTAATAATTTGAATCCCTGTTTCGGAACAAAGCAATCGATCTACAGGTGTGAAAGCACCCTTAGTTACACATGTGCAATGGATAAAATATGCTGTATTTGTTCGGTAGACATGCTTACGGCACTGAATGCATATACCGTTATGTACCTTGTACCTATATTTTATATTTGATTGTGCTACCAACAGAAAGTATTGTAATTTTATAAACAACATTTCTCTTACTTCTGTCTTGGATGTATTTTGTGGTGAATATGTTTGCGTTACACTGTATGTACTGCATGTGGCATATTTATGCAATGCTACCTTAGAATTTGGATTTAAAAAAAGTTATCTTTCCTACCTTTTGGAACACCTTTCATTTTGGAAGCGTGGTGCCGGTGAAGGCTTAAAATGTTTGCTACTGTACATAAGCAGAGCCTATATTTATTCCTTTAATTTTGTGGAGTTTAGCAATTGCTGGGAAATCTTATGTTGTCTATTTTACTAACCATTCTATCCAGGTAAGAACCAATTCAATCAAGCAAAATAGAATCCTAAGAGACATTCTGCAGCAGATTTATCAGTGAATGCAACAGAATCAACATTCAGCTCTTAAATGTCAGCTCTAGATTTAGCTGTGTAAGTTGCCACAGGGGTTATATAACATACACGCCCATTCCTCCAGGCACCTCTCATATTTGGAGGATCTCAATGATTTCTTTGAGAATAGAAACGATTCCTTCAAGAACCCTCCCATGACTCATAAAACCTGTGAATCAAAGTCAACACACAGTCTCATATGAACATGTTCATCAAATTACACTATTGTGCTTTTCAGTAGCTTTGCAAATAGGCCTATGTCATCACTGCATACTGTATTTTTCATAACGTATATTCAGTGCTTAGTGTAATGGTTCATAAAACTGTAATTTAATTGAATATGGCCTATTGATAAAAGTCTGAAGTATGCATTTTCTGTTTTCTTATATTTTAGAGTAAATGTAGAATAAACATTGTATGAAATGAAAATTTAGTTAGAACTAACTAAATTTACATTTTATTTGTTCACCCCTAAATAAAAATGTGTATTAAGGACTATTAAGTACTAATGCTACTAAAACAATCCATATGACTTATGTACTTGTGTATTTTCTAGTCTTTTAAAGTTGTGTGATATCTTTGTGTGAGAACCAGACTGAAAATTAAGTCTATGTGATGAAAATGTTCATCACACTTGGTTTAACATATGAAAATGCTAATTTGAATATAAACATTAATGTGCTTGCAGAGCTTCAGAGCTTCATATGTGGCCTAGTAGTTCCAGGAATATTGAGCTTTGGAGTTTATACAGAAGATGCAAGTTTTAATCTGGCCTGTATTACTGTCGCGTTCACAAGAAAAAAAAATCTCCTGACTACTATTAAAATTCATTTCTAATGATGAATATCTTTTGTACTGGACTGATCAAACAAACAACACTGGATTGGTATGTCTGTAAAGATGAATGCTGGCAGAGACATCTTTGCCTCCAAGCATTCAGATGAGTTCCCAAGGCTGACTGGCCTTCAGGAGAATTTTCTAGAATTTTCTTTAACATAGTTAGCAGATTTTTTAAAATGGGGACCCCAAATACAGATTCACTTACCACCCCCATATCTCCAATGTATGTGTCCTGCACATTATTGTAAAGTGTTACTGAATTTTCTTATTTCTTATCTTTGATTATATACAAGATATGAAGGTCTGTCACATGTATCCTCTGTTTTAGTTTAATTTTCATGGACTCTTAGGGTGCTTCTCAAATGGAAGGCTGCATATCTCGGCTGTCATGTCATCAATAATATAAGGATTTGTAATAGAAAGTATTTTTCCAAAAATAAGTTTTATTAGTATTTTGTCATGACGGTGAGGGCGAGAACATATTTGACGTATAGCAATGCACACTTACTAGATCATCTCATTCTAGCATTTAATACCGAGGAGAACTCTAGCCTACAAGCCTCAGAAGGACTGAACTAGGAAGGATGCAGCCCTCCGTTTGAGAAGCACCCTTAGTTTGTTTCTCTTCAGTTCCTGTTTCCTTTGTTCTCTTTTCCCGCCATAGTTAGTCACCATGGTTTTTTGTTAATTAGATCACACCTGTTTGTGTTCTATACATCATCTTGTGCATTTAAGTCCCTCAGTTTGTTTTTTTTCCCTTTGTGGCATTTATTGTTGTGTTGTACATGCTGTTTTCATGTGGCTTCTCATCAGTGGATTACCTGGTTCTGTTTTGTTAAATACATTTTTGTTACTTGAACCCTTTTTGGACTTTCTTCTTTGGACTAAAACATGACAATTTGTTTTTACTTTGGAAGCAAACTTTTAAGATTTTGAAATATTTTAACAGTTGCTTAAAATGTATTACATTTAGTGAGATTAATGCTTAAATCAAGTCAAAACATCTGCCAATGGATCAGAAAAATGAACTTAAAACAAAATAATTTATCTTATTCCTTTTGGTTGTTTAATTACTCACTACTTTTGTCTGTGTACGTCTATGCATGGGTGAATCCATCCTGTAGCTCTCTCTCTCTCTATATATAGATATATATACAGTATATATATAGTTTAATCAAAATTGATTTGGCCAAAATAAATAAAATAAAAGTTATTTGGAAGATTAATATTATCATCATTATTATCCATAATATTATTTTATCAAGTCAAGTTACAACAAAGAAAGTGAGAAAAAAGGAAATGGGCTCAATATTAATTTCAATCTGATTTTAAGCCATCTTCCTTATAACTTTTATTTTACTACAGAATTGGATGTTACTGAAAACAAAGTTGAAAAAAGTCTTGCTTCGGATTACTCGCTAAATTATTATTATTGTTTCACTCTTAAAATGTTTTGCACAGATTCTGTTTGAACAGTTGACACAGATGAACAGAGCACATTCATGTTGTGATTGTATTGTCAACGTGAAATACTTACCTTCAAACAGCATCATGATCACAGAAATGCACAACTTACGTGTGGGGGTTTCACCGCAGTCCCATGCACTAGTGCTGGGCCAGCTTCAGATGTGCATGCTTCATAGCGAAGACTCGCACTGAGACAGGCATCTCAAGAGCTTGGCTCAGTCTGTGTATGATGATGAAAAGAACAAACAGAATGAAAGGCACAGCGTGACGCAGAAACTTACTTCTAACCTGTTTTCCTGTCTTCTGTTCCAGTTCTGCCAAGTCACACCTGTGGAAATCCAGGGTTGATACCGAGAGGGATTATCCATGGGACCAGGTACAACGTCGGAGACAAGATCCGCTACAGTTGTGTGATGGGATACGTTTTGGAGGGGCATGCAGTGCTCACGTGCATAGTGAGCCCAGGAAGTGGTGCATCATGGGATTTCCCAGCACCATTTTGTAGAGGTAAGATGCTTTGTGCTTACATGGACAGACGGGTTAAAAAGCAGGGCTTCCACAGTCATGGAATACTGTGACTAGTGTTGTCACGGTACCAAAATTTCAGTATTCGGTACCAATACCAGTGTAAATCCACGGTTCTCGGTACCAATTTCGGTACCAAAGCAAAACACAAAAACATGCTAATTGAACAATGCACTATTTTTATTAATAAAGTTAAACAAAAATAAAATGTACAAAAAATCAATGGCATTCTTTATAGTTATTTAAAATTGTGTTTCAAGTTATCAAATTATTACTTTTTCGGGTACTCGGTACCACCGGTACTTAAGAAAACGTGGTACCGTAACTTTTTAATTGTTTTAGTACCGACTTGGTACCGAAGTACCGGGTCTTTTGACAACACTAACTGTGACTACTGTATGCTTGCAGTAGTACACTCTCAGCACTCTCAGAAAAAGGTACAAAACTGTTGCTTTACCCTTTAAAAGGCGCTAATATGTACTCTTTAGGTACTAATATGTGCTTTGAAATTATTTATCTTTAACTCAAGTTGTCACTGGGGCGGTACATTTTCAAATGTTACAAATATCTACCATTTAGGTACTAGTATGTACCTTTAATGTACCAATATGCACCCTTTATGGGTAAGTTTTGAAAACTTTTTGAAAACTTTTGAAAAGGTACCGCTCCAGTGACAACTTCTATACTTTTTTTTTTTTTCTGAGAGTGTACTGTATGCTCCAATGCATTGTGCTCAACTGGCCTTCCATTTCCAATTTAACAAATGAACCTGAAGTAATATTAACCATGATTTTATTCTTTTAAATCTTTTTTTTTTTGACATTGGTACACAACTTAAAGAATCAACCATCCGTTTTCCAAATCACTTATTCTAGGGTTACAGGGTGCTGGAGCCTATCCCAGTGTCTTGAAAAAAAAAAAAAAGTAAAATAAATACACTTTAAAACCTCACAAGTAAATATGACAACAACGTAGCATACTGCTGTTTAAAATGTTTACTGTGGAATAGTGCATACTGTTTCACATACTGATTTTGTGATTCTGATTTGGGACACTTCCATATGTGGTACTAAATCAGTTACTAGTTGGATGTTTTGCAATGCAAACTCAATCTGAACAGTCATATCGGAATTCATATGAGACATTCATCACAATTCTGCAAAGATGGGACTCACTCCAGATTTTACATACCGTTAATTATTTGATCACTCAATATGAAAGACATCTGTAGTGAGTGGAGGAAGAGAGTGAGGTGTAAGAATTATGGTGACAGCTTTAGACAAGCAAAACTTGAGGGGACACTAGAAAAGCTTATCTCTCTTTTTCATCATCCTCGCCTCGTCCTCCTTATCGCATGCGCATGAATTAACGGTCCGTGACACATGCGTAAACACTGATTTCAGTGGCCTCAGTGTTTAATTCTGTATGTCTATTGGGCATTCGGTTCAGTTCAGGACTGTGATCAGTTCAAACTTGAATCTGATATCGGCCATATTTAAAAAAAATAAATAAAATAAAATAATGATAATAATAATGTGAACAGCCAAACTAGCAAACAAACAAAATACTAAAGCTGTATCCGAGCACTGCAAAGTCTGTGGATGTCATCTTCTGGCCCTATAAATAATGCACTATTTAAGGGTATGGGGCCAATTTCAGATACAGTGATCGAATCATAAGTCAGCCGGAACAAAACAGAAAATGATCTGGCAATATGGGATCTAAAAATGTAAGTTACTCAACCTTTTGTTTGTTTTAATCTACTGTAAGGCAACAGTGTCACACAATTGTGCTTCAGCCTTGTCACTTCAATAACTTCTCCAAAACTGCCATGGCTAGTTCTAACATGATATTTTCAAATTAGTAACAAAGGCACATCTTTTTGAATTAGCAATGTCAGATCCTGGATACTTGGCGTAGGAAAGTAGTTACACACATAAGAGGGTATTTGTGACACTCCTTGGCTTTACATATTTACGTACTTATCTTTTGAACTGCTGTATAAAAGCAGGACTGCATAAAGGCTATAAATCATGGTTGTGAATACCTGATGCTTCATGCCCACGGCAAATCAGAACCACAGAATTGCAATACCAAAATTTTAGATGCTGCCCGTAATTTCACCATTCTTGATTCCAGTTTTGAAACTGCAGCAAAAAAAGCCACCTGCCATAAAGTTAAAACATTATTAAAGACAAGCAGTCTTTAAACAAATTACAAGCGATAGAAAAAAATAAATACAATAGTACAAATATATAAAGGAAATAAACAACTATCTTTTGCATCTTCTTCTACTTGGATGGTAGCCAGTATACTCTGCTTTTAGAGAACAGCAGTACTGATCCTGTGTCTTAAATGCTGCATCGGGAGGCAGTCCTTATATTCAAGCCCTGGATTTTTAATCCATTATTTATGAAGGACTACAAAAGTCATGGCATAGGAGCGCTGAAAATTAATGTTGATTTCTATATGGTGCAATTTGACTAATTTTACCTTTGCCTGATAATTTCTAACTTTTGTGCTATTTTGTCCAGCTGAAGGATCATGTGGTGGGACGTTAAGAGGAACAACAGGGACAATATCAAGTCCCCACTTTCCTTCAGAGTATGACAACAATGCTGACTGCACGTGGAGTATTCTGGCCGAGCCGGGAGACACCATTGCCCTAGTCTTCACAGACTTCCAGCTAGAAGATAGATATGACTTTCTAGAGATCAGTGGCACAGAAGCACCGTCAATATGGTGAGTGAACTGGCCTCTGTTACTGCTTCTACATTACAGCGCAAGGGATCACAGGATCCCGTTAATGGAAGTAGTGAGCGGAATGACTATTTTTGTTTCTGCATTCGGACAGGATTTGCTTTGTAAATGACATTTAAGCTACAGTTGTGATTTAGTACTGATTCTATATTATTACAATGGTGAGAGTGTTTATTGCATGGATGTGCGTTTACATCATATCATGTGCTCTCTGTGCAAGCCTCACAAACACTTCTTTTCTAGGATCTTGGAAAACAAAAGTTGTGGATAAAAAAAAAAAATTTAAGATTTTTTTTAGCACTATTCTTTTTTAGCACTAACAGTTTTGAAGCACAAGATGCTCTTTGGAACATTTAGAACAACTTTTCAGTCAGGCTATTTCGATACTATATTGATAGTAATTTATTGGTATAGATAGTACATTGGATTTTAAATAAAATAAGTTGCATAGTATTACATTAAAAAATGCTAAATATAATTTTCTCAAGTAGATTTGAGGACCCTGCTGTAGGCGTTATGGTGAGAATCATACTACTCTAAAGACAATTTTGAGTAATTTCTGGGATCGAACTCTCTCCTACTGATTTAATTTTATTTTTAATTAGCCGTATTGTTACATTACACAGAATGTTGTGGCATTCAATGAAGGTTCAAATAAATGAGGAAAAAAAATATACCCCAATCAGAGGCATTAAGTTCTGGACAGGATTCGATTTCTCAGAAGACAATGTAGGGTTTTTCAACTCAAAAAGGGAAATATTTATGACGAATTATAACTGGTTATGATTCATAATAAATATTTAGATTAGATCTTTGAATTAACTGTAGTTCGGACAGGGGTGTCCCTTGGGCAATGTTTGAAACCCCACATGAAGGTGCGAGTGGTGAAACTGTTTAGCATCTCTTTGAGAGTGGGGGGGAACCATTTGACATTTAGTACCCATATAAGTGTGACGTCTGGGACCAGGACTGTAATTTATATGCAAATGTCAAAAGCTAAAAGGGTCTTCTTAAACCATAAAACCCAAAGATCATGCGTGATTCTATGCAGACGCTACAACAAGTTGACTGAAAAACAGGACTTAATATGCCCTTTCATTTTTACAGAGACTGAAAGAAAGAAAAAAATACAAGCATGTTCAATTTGGAGGGGATTAGAGTAATAATTCACAAATGAAAATTCTTTATTTACTCGCCCTCGTATCAAACACAATAGCTGTTTTTCAAGACAAACAAAAAAAAGACATTAAAAAAGAAGAAGAAAAAAAGGGCTTTTTTCCCCATACACTGACAGTTCATGGGACTGACTAGCTTCAAGTCAAGTCAAGTCAAGTCAAGTCACCGTTATTTATATAGCGCTTTTAACAATACAGATTGTGTCAAAGCAACTGAACAGCATTAATTAGGAAAATAGTGTGTCAATAATGCAAAAATGACAATAGTAAACACTAATTCACATGTAATAGACTTCATGACACAAAAGACCGTAAAAGTAGTCTACATAACACATGCACATTTCAAGTATAGAGATGTCATATGATAGCTGTGTGTGTGAGGAACAGACTGAAATGTAGGTCTTTATTGACTGAAAACCTTTTACATTTCTATTTATTTATTTATTTATGTATTCATAACTTCAGAAGACTTGGAAAGTAGCACAGTGCAGTCTTATGGGCTACTTTTATGCTGGTTTTATGTTTTCATTTTAGGGTGAAGTATTCACTGAAAATAACAAATTACATCTATGAAACACAAATGTACCTAAACTCCATCTGGTGTAGGGCTTTTTCTGTCTTTCAGGTATTGATCTAGAATACCCTCAGATGGAAATGAGATACCATTGATCTCACTGATTATTCTGGGAACATATCACTTGCTCTGTGACTCTCCCCACAGCTGTCAACTTGATGATCGCCGCTCAATGCTTTAACACATTTCTCTTGTTTTCTCTCCTCACCTGTTTCTGTCTGCCTCCTTTCATCAGACACTTCTTCACTGTGTTTTCAAAGGTTTGCAATTGTGACCAAATTGTAAGTCCTAACCTAGTGAGAGATGACACAGAAGGCTCTGCCTGAACTCTATTAACTTCAAGCTCTGTGAATAAACATGTCCTCGCTCTTAACGTGTGGAGCATCGAGGCTGTGTAGTCACACAGGCACCCTCGCAAATAATTAGCTTTTCCGCTTCACCAAAACACAGGCTTGAAATTACACAAACTTGCTGTAAGAGAGCAATAACATTACTTCACTGGACTGGTGATGAAATAACAGCAGAAGCTATTTACACTGTATCAGAAAAGTAATATCAGAATGTTTATTCTTACCATAAACAGCAGTAGTATACTAATAACACATAGCATAGGAATTCCATGCTATATAATCCAGATGTGAATGGTAATGTTGAACTTTGTGGAGAACAAGGATTCTATATGATAAATGAAGCCTAAAGCATCCACCCTTAAGTCTCTGACATCCCAAGGTATGGCTGGAGTACCTGCTTTAATGGAAATCTTTTTTTTTTTTTTTTACCTATATCATCTAAGTGCACCAAGTTCATGGTTTTCTCAGATAATTTCAACTATACCGACAGGCATGGGTTACTGTCACCCAAGGAAAATTAACATTCTTTGGAGAACATGAACATTACTTAAACTAGGGCCAAATCTCACAAGAACCCTCCGGGCTGCCAAAAACATTTCAGCTACTGTATGTAAGAAGAAATATCATGCATGTTCGACCATTTCATGTAAGTTACACACTCAAACACACACTTACATACATGTCCCTTGTACTGCAGTGAACTGAGCTTGTAAAAAAAATGTTTAGTATAGGAGAAACTTAAACTTACAGACAGCAGACACTGCTGTGTTGTCGAGGTATTGATTTCCCTTTAAGTAATACATTTCCTGTCCAAGAGGATGTTTGAGAGCTTTACAATCATGTGACACAGGTGTGAAGACAATGTACTGAGTTATTCTAGCCTCACAGGCACAGCTATGGCCAAGTCTCTTCCATGACATTCAGAAGCGTTTTCAGTATTGATCCCATTTCAGTGGCATTAAAAAGAAACCCTGGCCAGTTTTTTTAATGGGATGAGCAGTATATTTTGACCGCAGAAATCTCGCTGCAAATTATTTTATTTTTTTTTTGAGATGCCAAATCAGTCAAAAAGACTCCAAAAGGGCAGTGAGTACTTATTCCCTGATCAATGTTTGGTCTGGAGCTGCTAAATATGATGGCCAACACTATGTGTGTTTATGTCATAGAGTCTTTGCAGTGTTCCAATTATTTGATTTGTTGCTGCATAGCCTGCATTTTATCCTTTATTTTATAATTATGACATTTTTAAAATATGTTTGTTAATAATTAGGCTTTATTGAAGTAGAAAAGGTTACCTACTTAGTTTCTATAGTTACCTTAGAATGTTTCTCCTTTAGGACTGTGATTCCTTCGTTCTGTTACATGTCTGGGAATCCTTTGGTTACCTGTTTGTGTAAAGTGGCTCTGGTTGAGACCAATTGCCTTCATTTTTTAGATGCTGCCCTCATTCTGATGGACATCCCTGCTTCCCACACTTCCCTGCTCCACCTGAGTGAGTGGAGCCAAGGACCTGAACGTGAAGATTGCAGTGTGGAGCTTGTGCTGGCAGAGGTCCTACATACACGACACTCTCCAGATCTAGTGTTAACGCCTGTGCAGTACACTTGAGACAATCTCCGACCTTGAATTGGAGTGCATGAAAAGGTTTTTGATGGATCAGGAGAAGGTTATGTGGCCATCTCTCTTGCAATGTCCGAGCTTGTTCCTTCCAAGCTGGCTTGTCGTTTCACACTTGTTCTCCAAAAGTTTCAGCCAAAGTTTCTTAAGCACATGGACAAAAACGATGCCGAAACCAAGCTCTTTAGAGAGCTGCATAGTGTGAAAGACAGATGTGTTCATCCAATGTGCTTAACAGTCCAATCATGTCAGCACATGGGAAATCTTCCCATGTAAACCAACTTCCAAGGTGGCCGCCTCACTTCAGTGGTGGTTGATCCTCCACGGTTCACCTGTAGGACCCGTTTGTTACATACAGAAACCCACAACCTTCTTGTGAAAGGCGTAATAGAGGTTGTTGCAAAAGGCAAGAGTCGAGCAAGAGTGACAATGTGTACATATTTAACAGTTGGGCACTAGTGATGGGAAGTTCGGATAATTTTACCGACTTGGACCTTTGAGTCTCGTTCAGCAAAATGAACGAATCTTTTTTCGAGTCGTTTCGTTAATTTTAGCAAAATAGAATTAAAATGTTGTGACGTGACAACATTGGATAGAGAAATTAGTTAAATTACAAGCTTCCTTACAAACGGGTGCATAGTTATTATTATTATTATCATCATTATTATAATTATTATTTACTCTTAGTTACGTAATGCATTTCTGGTCTCAAATTGTAGCTTTTTACTTAGTGAATTTCTGTAATTATGGTTCTTTTCCATAACACTGAATGTTGTAACAAAGGTAATAAAGAGTTGGTTATTATTATTAAGTCTCTTTCCGGCTCAGACTGCATAGGTTAAGCTTATGGGGCTGTCACGTGATGAACGAACGACTCGAAAAACCTGAAGACTCGAAACAGGTGAACTACTTGACCAATTCCAGTACAGAACCTATAGGATGTTGCGCATGTGCAACTGAACGAATCACTCCCCGAGATGACTCGTTCTTCCCGAGTCACATTAAAGATTCGTTCAAAATGAACGAATCGTTCAAGAACGACCCAACACTATTGGGCACATGCAGTCAGCTCTCCAGCTGTTCAGACATGCGCTGCATTGCTGCTTTTATCAGAAAGGCTGTGATGTGGCAGGTTTCCAGGAGGTCATCACAGATGCATCTAGCTTGGGCTTGCATGCTCAATCCAACGGCTGTCAAGTTTTTGGCTCTAGGATGGGTGCCAGACAAGCATGGCTAATCAATCACTTACAACTGCTCACGGTGTGT